GCAGAGGTAAAACCCTGTTTTGTCTCTTTTTTCCAGAAGTCTTTGGCGGCTTTGCCCGGTCCGGAGGTAGGTGCCCCCCTGCCATCCACACCCAGTCCTTGGCGGTGCCGGGTGGGCACCTGGTTTCTTGGGAAGGGTGGGGGGTTTGCTCTTACAAGCGTCTCTGCTTCTCTCCGCAGGGCAGACCAGGTCACGCCGGCTTCCCGGTGAGTCGGTGGCAGGGCTGGGGACTGCGGGGATGGCCCCGCTGAAAGCTCCGGGCACGCTTTGGTGAAGCCTCCAGCTTTGCCACAGCGGTGCTGGGGTGGTGGTGATGGAGACGGGGGGGATCTACCTGTGGTAGACCTACCTCTGGTGGGTCAGGGCTGATGTGGGCCCTGTGCTCCTCTCTGCAGGGCCCAGTGGGACCCAAAGGAGACCGAGGGTCGTCTGGTCCCCAGGGCTCCCCGGGGTTGAAGGTAACTGCTCTGGACCACCTCCACCCTGTGGGGTGGTCACGCTCCCGGTCCCAAACCCTGCCCGGTTACGGGGTCCTGGCTGTGGTGCCAGCCCCACCATGGGAGGAAGTCCAGTCCCTTCATCTCCCCTCGTCCCTCCTCCGCTCTTGCAGGGGGAGAAGGGGGAGCCTGGAGTCATCATCAGCCCTGATGGGACCGTGGTGACTGCGAAGGTGAAAGGAGAAAAGGTGGGTGCGCTGCGGGAACGGGGGGCACATGGCTGTGCGACGGGTGCTGGGTGGTCCCGGTGGTGACACCTTTTCCCTCTCCACTGTCCGCAGGGGGAGCCGGGGCTGCGGGGACCGACGGGACCCTCGGTAAGTCACCATCGCAGTCCTCCTCGTAACCCATGGAGAGGGACAGGGCTGATCGGGGGCAGAGGGGGACGGGGGGTGCCCCTGCTCTGAGCAACCCCCATCCTCATCTTCTCTCCCCTCCAGGGTCCCCAGGGAAGAGCAGGGATGAAGGGAGAGATCGGCTTTCCGGGCAGACCCGTAAGACCCGCTCCCGGTTTGTTTGTCCCCTCGGCCATTGCCTCCTCCGCCGCGTCCCCCCACCCCGTTCGCACGTCTCGCACCCACCGAACCCCAAACCGCATCGTGTCTGTGTGGTGCCGAGGGGTGGGGTGATGCCAGGGGTGCTGCCAGGGCGTCACCCTGGAGCTGGTGGGGGGGCAGGGACGGGGCTCTGCTCTGCTGCTCATCCACAGGGACGTCCCGGCATGAACGGGCTGAAGGGCGAGAAGGGTGACCCCGCCGATGTCAGTGGTATCCTGGGCTTGCGGGTGAGCGCTGCCGTGACCCCCTCGGGCTGCTAGCCCGGCAGATGGGGGGACGCACACCGAGGGGCTCCCTGGGGACCCGATTCCCTTTGGCGAAGGGCACATGCCTCCCTCTCTCAGGGACCGCTTGCCCCTCGGGGGCTGGACATGGTCCCCCCATGGTGACTGTCTGCTTTGCGGGACCCTGACTCATCTTCTCTCCCTCCACAGGGTCCCCCAGGACCCCCGGGTCCCCCAGGGCCCCCTGGGCCACCTGGCAGCATAGTCTACGACAGCAGCAATGTGAGTAACAACATGGTCACCGGGATGGAGGATACTGAGGGCTGGTGACCAGGTCCCCCCAGTGCCCCCTGCTTGGCTGGAGGGAACGGGGGGACACTCCGGTGGCATCCCAGCCAGAGCTGGCTCGTGGGGCAGCTGTCAGCATCACACCAAGGTGGGGGTCCCCGAGGATGCTGCCATCTCTGCAGCTGCTTCCTTTGCATCCCCACAGGCCTTCAGTGACTCCAGCCATCCCGCACTGCCAGCCTTCCCTGGTAAGGAGGTGTCCCTCGGGGCGGTTCGGGGACCCCCGGCAAGGCAGAGGCTGGCAGGGACCCTCTGTTAGAGCTGGGGCTGGGCTGCTGCAGTTCTGAAAGGGCATCTCTCTGCTGCTCCCCACAGGTTTCCACCAGTTTCCAGGTCAAAAGGGAGAGAAAGGGGATGCCGGAGCCCCGGGACCCCCAGGTGAGTGACCGGTCCCCGCAGGCAGAGACTGGCAGAGGGTGGCTTGTGCCCACCCTGGCTCTCCTCTCCCTCTCCACAGGCCACTTTCCCTA